TATATATATATATATATATTTATTATTTTGTGGAAAAATTGAAGAAAAAATATGTGATATCAGTTGCTTATATAAATTTTTTCTTTCAGAGAGGTTGTGGAAAGTGAAGAATTTTTAGCTCTCTCACCTGCTCAGGTTTGCAAATTAATCTCTAGTGACAGGTTAGCTGTGCCTTCTGAGGAAAAGGTATTTAAGAGAATTATCATTGTGTTAAAAAAGATATTAGCATTTATTTATCATAATTTTTTAACAGGTGTTTGAAGCAGTGATGGCATGGGTAAATCATGATTTGGATAATCGGCAAGAAGATCTAGCACAGCTAATGGAAAATGTTCGACTTCCTTTATTATCTCAGGAATATTTAGTACAAAGAGTAGAAGAGGAACCTTTGTTGAAATCAAATCATTTATGTAAAGATTATCTTATAGAGGCTATGAAGTATCATTTATTGAAAGGAGAACAAAAGTTAATGTATAAAACGCCACGTACTAAACCTAGAACTCCTATTGGTAGGCCCAAAGTAAGTCATTCAATTAATACAGTATACATAGTTTAGACTTTAACTCTATCCTCATTTTTTTTTTTTTTTAGCTTATTGTAAATCCTTCATATAGTTAACTGATTGAAAAATAATTGATACAAGTAATGCAGCTTCTAGAAACAAAACAATTCTAAAATTTGTAACAATACCAGATAAATTGTATTATATATTGATATTTATTAGAATAAACACTATATTTTGTCAGTTCTAAGATACATTTTTTTCTTTCTTGTTTGAAATAGACACACACTGACAATTGATGGCATTTTTCTTTTGTAGTTTAAACTTTCTTTTTTTAATGTTTACAATGTCTTTAAAATAATAATATAGTATAGCATTAAAATGAAGTTACTGTATATGCAAAACAACATGGAAACAGAGTTACTGAGCATTATTACATTGCATATATATTGTTTTTCTAATTTGTTATTATTTAACAACTAGGAGATCCAACAGTTCAATAAATGTTAACTCCTAAATTTAAACCTAAAAATTTATTAAAATCAAAAATAATTATATAATTAAGACTCTGGTCTTTACACCAAATAAAATAAAATTAAAATTAATTAAAATTACAATTGAAAATAAAACATTTTTAAAAACCATATAAATGTTGTTTTGAAATTTTCAAATTGTAAATCCTTGAAATTAGATTTTACTAATTGGTTAAAAAGAAGAAAAAATGAGTGTCACTGTCATTTATTTTAAATGTTACAGAGTAAATAGTACATTAACATTTTTTTCTTGAATTCTCCAGTTTATTTATTTTATTAATTAAAAAAAAAAGGAGGAAAACAAATTTAGAAAAAATTACAAAAAAAAAGGTAACTTTCAAAACTAGTTTATTACAAAATGTGTTCCAGTTTTACTAAATTGTACTTGGTAACATTTATAAAAAATAATAGAATTTTATAGTTTAGAATTGTAAATGTATTTATAAAATTCTGATGAATGTAACATTTGGATTGTATTTTATTTTTCTAGTTCAGAAGAGTCAAAATCCAGAATGATGGATTTCACCCGTTCTCGTTATGCAGGAACGGGTGATAAGCCACCTTACAAGAATGTTCACCATACTCAAAAAGCTTTTGAAGTTATGAGTATATTGAGGAAGTAAGAGTTACTTTTATTCATTTACATTTGTTGTTGTCTCTACTTTTATATCTCAGGAAAATAATAAATAAAAATATCTTTAAAGGCAGAACTTGCTTTGTGATGTTACATTGGTTGCGGACAGTGCTGAAATACCAGCACACAAAATGGTACTCGCTTCGTGTAGTCCTTATTTTTATGCCATGTTTACGGGATTTACTGAGAGCAAGGCAGATAAAATTACTATTCAGGGTGTCGACGGCCAGGCTTTGCAGCTGCTTATTGACTATGTGTATTCTGCAGAAATACAAGTCACCGAAGATAATGTACAGGTATTTATTTTTTTCTAATTTCTATGACTGAAAATTCCGAGTTTATTATGATGATTAATTGTTGGTGATTTATACTATAGGTTTTGTTGCCAGCAGCCAATTTACTGCAGTTAACGGATGTACGTGATGCATGTTGTGATTTCTTGCAAGCGCAGCTCCATCCTTCTAACTGTCTTGGAATACGTGCATTTGCTGATTTACACAGTTGTCTAGAATTGCTGAGTTATGCTGAAGCTTACACAGAGCAACACTTTGTGTAATAGTTGATTTTCTTTCTTGTGGTATTTGAATGAAAAGTAACGGAAGCATTTGATGTATGTAAAATTTTCTAAAATAGGCTCAGAGATTAAGTCTTGGAAAGATATAAACTTTAGAATTTAAAAATTATCCATTGTGACATAAATATACATATATATGTGTATAATATATATATATATATNGTTGATTTTTTTTTTTTTTTTTTTTCTTTTTTAAAAAAAGAAAAATTAAATAAAATTAATTTTTGAAAATGGGTTGATACTCATTCAAGCAGAAAGCAGTATCTTCACAAATTATATACAGAATCTTGAATAGTGTCTTATAGATTGCTGTTGCATAAATCATATTGGAATAATACCACATTTATTATTATTATAAGATACATCATGACTTTGAAATTGAAATTTTAGATATTTTATGGAGGGGAAAACTTTTAAAATAATCAATTTTATTAAGTATTGTTAAATAACAATAAGTTGGAAGGCAAATAACATGAAATAGGTAAAGTTTTGTAGCTCTGTTTCCATGCAATTCTGTACATACAAGAACTTTTCATTTTAAAGCTACATTATCATAACCTGAAAGCATTTTAAATGTTAAAAATACACTCAAATGTTTTTTACCAGTGAAGTTGATTAGAATTGATGGCTTTGAAAAACAAAGTTTGAATGATATTTGAGCAATATTGACAAACTAAAGATCAGATTTGTGAGTGCATTCAGGAGATTCTGAGAGATATATTGCAGAGAATTATATTATATTTTCTTACCATGCTAAATGATTGTATCACTGCTAATGGTGGACACTTACCTAATGTCATTTTCAAGTAGTAATGTTTTACATTAATTTTCTATAAAAAGTGTAATCTATCAGTTTGAAATAATAAACATTTACTTTTTTCTGAAATATTCGTTATTTTAAAAAATGGTCAGATGTTTCTAGTGTATATAAAGATTCAAATTACATCTTACAAAGTGAAAGACCTCTTTATTCATGCATGTATTAATTGCATATAATAATACAAATTAATACATGATCAATTACTTATCACTTTAACCAAACACCTATTATTTCAATAGATTTGGAATCAAAAGGCAATATGTATAAGACAGTATAAGATTCTATATGTGTGTGTGTGTGTGTGTGCGTGCGTGCGTGCGTGCATATTTACTAACTTTAAAATTTAAGAAATTAATAATTACTTTTTAATCTATATAATTATAAATTCACTTGTAAAACTATAGAATAAAGTAAGGTATCCCGACAAGAAGTTTGATGAGTTTAAAACACTTCCAAGTGTCAGCTGATATGTAAATTGTCCATTTTTGTTAGTTAAGTAGGATTGTTTGATTCATAATTTGGGAGAAATCATTTCATGTGTTAAAATGTTATTCAGAAAATGGACAATGCAATAGGAATATGCTGTTAAACTGGAAATATTGGCTAAAAATTTGATTAAAAGTAGAAATCCTTTTAATATTGTAAAAACAACTTTTTGACTTTTAACATGAGTAAGGTAAATAATGTTTTTTTTTTTTTTTTTTTTTTTTTAAAAAAAGAAAAATTAAATAAAATTAATTTTTGAAAATGGGTTGATACTCATTCAAGCAGAAAGCAGTATCTTGACAAATTATATACAGAATCTTGAATAGTGTCTTATAGATTGCTGTTGCATAAATCATATTGGAATAATACCACATTTATTATTATTATAAGATACATCATGACTTTGAAATTGAAATTTTAGATATTTTATGGAGGGGAAAACTTTTAAAATAATCAATTTTATTAAGTATTGTTAAATAACAATAAGTTGGAATGCAAATAACATGAAATAGGTAAAGTTTTGTAGCTCTGTTTCCATGCAATTCTGTACATACAAGAACTTTTCATTTTAAAGCTACATTATCATAACCTGAAAGCATTTTAAATGTTAAAAATACACTCAAATGTTTTTTACCAGTGAAGTTGATTAGAATTGATGGCTTTGAAAAACAAAGTTTGAATGATATTTGAGCAATATTGACAAACTAAAGATCAGATTTGTGAGTGCATTCAGGAGATTCTGAGAGATATATTGCAGAGAATTATATTATATTTTCTTACCATGCTAAATGATTGTATCACTGCTAATGGTGGACACTTACCTAATGTCATTTTCAAGTAGTAATGTTTTACATTAATTTTCTATAAAAAGTGTAATCTATCAGTTTGAAATAATAAACATTTACTTTTTTCTGAAATATTTGTTATTTTAAAAAATGGTCAGATGTTTCTAGTGTATATAAAGATTCAAATTACATCTTACAAAGTGAAAGACCTCTTTATTCATGCATGTATTAATTGCATATAATAATACAAATTAATACATGATCAATTACTTATCACTTTAACCAAACACCTATTATTTCAATAGATTTGGAATCAAAAGGCAATATGTATAAGACAGTATAAGATTCTATATGTGTGTGTGTGTGCGTGCGTGCGTGCGTGCATATTTACTAACTTTAAAATTTAAGAAATTAATAATTACTTTTTGAATTTTGTAACACTTGGATATTTATATTGTTTATGTCTTATTTCATAGGATTGCAAAAAAATGGAATTATAAAATTGGAGGATACATTCAGTTAAACAATTCAGATTGAATTTATATGAAAAATAGCAAAATATATAGAAATAATCTATAAAAATAACAAGATTATACTGAATAAACTAAGAATTGTTCATATATTTAAATAAAACTTCAAATAACAAAATGATTAGGCTTAATTTGTTAACTAAATATCAGAACATAAAAGACTAAATTTGCTAAAAAAAAATTATATTTCAAGAGGGAGAGAAAAAAAATCAAGATACACTATTTAAAACATAGTTAAAAAAAATTTAAAACATAGTTAAACAATAACACGAGATTGGTGTTTCTTGGAGAATAGTACAGAATAGATAAATCCTGAACTATTCTCCAGGAAAGATGAAGATAGAATAACAACTACAGTTACATGTGATTAATAAATATTTGTAATGTAATGAAATTTTATGTTGTGGAGAATGTCAAGTATCCTTTTAATTGACAACTTTCTAAATTTCATGTCTGAAATAATACAATGTTAAATAAACTTTATTTGAAAGCTTTTATAAAGTAAACTTTAATAATTAATATAGATTATTTTACTATAGGTATAGTTAAAAGTCATTTATAATAAAAGTGTTGATTTTTATTTTGTTAAAAATTATTCTATTATATAGTGCATATTTGTATACAGGAGTCATTTGATAAGTCATGGCAACAATAGTTTTTCTCCAAAAACATGACAGGTTTGTGAAAGTGAGTAATAAGAATTTAATTGACATTATATTACAAAATCTTTTACACAAATTTAAAAAATGAAGTTACAATAGATCTGTCACAGTGATGTCATGAAGTTGACACTGCACAGACACTTGGTCAGAAATGAAAAAGCTGTAAAGATTAGGCTTTGGCAACATAATTTTATTTTCCTATTTTCTGTTTTGTACCATTATGCAATGCTAATTAAATATATATTTGTGACAAAGAACATACAAACTGAACTTGACCAGTGAAAAGATGGAAATAAACTATATTTTAGTAGTTTGCATATTATTAGCATATAGTATTTTAGTACCTAGTATACTATTGGCAGTTATGGAGTATATTTGTAGTCAGCAAGTTGAAATAATGCAACTCAGAAAAACTGCATTTGGCTCACTAGAAGTCTACAAAGTTCACTTGTGACTGTTGTCCAGGGAATGGTTGCTCATTGCTGGCTATATCAAGCAATCTCTGTTATAGGCCTTTAACAATTAAAGCTTTGAATTCATCCAAAAACACAACTTAATCCCACATGTTAATGTTTCAGTCCACATAATATTTAGCCCAGATAAATCACTGTCTCTGCATTTTACTTGTCAGTAATGGCTTCTTATGTGGATAGTAGGTTTTTAAACCTGTGTTGCACAAATGACATTGTACAGTTAATACTCTGCTCTTTTTACTTTAATTTTAGTTTGGAAGAACTAGCAGTAGGCTCATATGCTGAGAATGTTAGCTCTTTATTCTAGGACAGCATACTCACACATTTCTTGATCCAGTGTTTCTTTTCATGTTGCCATGTTTGTGTAACAAGTGCATAGTTGGTGTTTGATGACAATACAATCTTTGCACTATTTCACAAGAAGATAAACCTTCAGCATTCAAAGCAATAATTATGGACTTTTAACACAGTGTTAACTGTTAAAAACTATTATGCTTATAAAAGCACATTGCCTTCACTTAGATTTTTATATCTCATATATTAATCAATATTAATGGATGATATAGTCACTGGCAACATTTCAGCAGTAGGCTTTGTCAGCTGGTAAAATGTGTCTTTGTGTATAGGATGTCATGGATGATGCAATTTTTGTTTCTTGCAGGTCTACAGAAAAATGATAATTTAATTTTAAAATATAAATACATTTTTATAGGATTTTGAGTGATACAATTTTCTAGCACTATTGTACATTATTGAAATGTACTATGGGAAAGAAATATTTTACTTAAAAATATGACTAATGTTACATGAGCTATTTTACATGTTAAGTTTGTTTGCATTCTGATTGGGTATTAATTTTTATATTTAATTTTTTGAAGATGAAATTAAATTGTAATAAGTTGCTTTTGTCTCCAACAGAATGACTGCACCGATATTCCTCTAGAATTTAGCGCATCTTTTGTGCTTTTTAGTGTTAGCAATTCGGTATGATGCACATTGTCTGATACTATTCTTCTATTGGTTAACTTCTTTGATTGGCATTTACTGTCGCAGCAAGAGTCAAGCTCAGTTTGAGTGGTCAACACAGTACTTTTTATCATGACATGATTTCGTAATGGCAACTACATCATGCAATTACTACACGCAATAGAATCTGTCATAACATGAACCAGTCTTTAGTGTTTTAGATTTCTGTATATGTTATTGAATCATGCATAAATTATTTTCCTATAAATAGAAAATTTCTTTGACAGATTTTACTGGTTGTTGGTGGACAAGCACCTAAAGCAATAAGGAGTGTCGAGTGTTACGATTTTAAGGATGAAAGGTGGTATCAATTAGCCGAACTACCCACTAGGCGGTGTCGTGCAGGTCTTGCCGTTTTAAATGGCTTTATCTATGCTGTAGGTGGCTTTAATGGATCTCTTCGTGTAAGAACTGTAGATATGTATGATCCTTTTAGAGATCAGGTATGTATTATTACATTTAATGAGTCAAATACAGTTAGATTTTTTTTATTCTACAATTTAATTTGTATAAATTTATTTCCATGCAGTGGTCACAAGCACCTAGCATGGAAGCTCGGAGGAGTACATTAGGTGTTGCCGTACTTAATAATCTGATTTATGCAGTTGGTGGTTTTGATGGATCAACTGGTCTTAATAGTGCAGAAATGTTTGATATGAGAACGGGTGAATGGAGAATGATAGCACCGATGAGCACCAGGAGAAGTAGTGTCGGTGTAGGAGTCTTAAATGGTATTTAATTCTTTTACTAATAAAATTTGACAATATAAAATAAAAATATTCTGTTGTAAAACTTTTAATTTTTTGAAATTTTAAATTTTAACATTTATCTGTGTAGGTATAGTACATAACATGATTGTATTTTACAGGATTTTTGTATGCTGTTGGAGGATATGATGGTGCATCTCGGCAATGTTTGAGTTCTGTTGAATGTTACAATTCTGAAACTGACACTTGGAGTCTCATAGCAGAAATGTCTGCCCGTAGAAGTGGTGCAGGTGTTGGTGTTCTTGACAGTCTTCTGTATGCAGTAGGTGGTCATGATGGACCATTAGTGAGAAAAAGTGTAGAATGCTATAATCCAGAAACTAATTGTTGGACTCCTGTTGCTGACATGGTCATGTGCAGAAGAAATGCTGGTGAGTAATTCATAATAATTTTAGAATAAATAAGATTTACTACTACAGATTAAAACTATCATTTTATATATATATAAAGCTGAAAACCCAGATTCCTTCTTTCTTTCTGCCACTGTATGCCAAAAATGGCCACTAGGGCACCCCTAACTATTATTTAAATTAACATTAAATTCAGTATATTATTATTTGATGTGGATTTTTGCATTTTTTGCCTGCATTTTAGTAGGGTACACCATGAAAAATAATAATATACTGAAATTCAGTATATTATTATTTTTATTTGTATTTATACCATTTATACCACGGAATGATATTGCTGCTGCTAGAATGCCCACTAGGGGGCGTCCTGGGTTACTAGAATAGAAGGATTAGAAGTACGAAATAATCTTAATCTTTGTTATTGTTTTTTGTCCGGGCAATGCCAAGCTCATCTGCTGGTATATATATATAATTGGTAACTATACCAATATATAACTATGTATATGGTAACTAATATAATTCATAACTATCAATATATATATATATAGTTACCAATGTCATAGTTACAATTAATGCTACTTTTCTTTAATTGGCTTGGCTATGTACTATATTGGAAGAGATGTTTCTCAGTTATAAATTATAATTTGATACAAAAATGTAATTGCTGAGCTTTGAATTTGTAATTGAGACTTCAGTCTATAAATTGAAATAGAGAAGTTTTGGGAGAAAATTATTTGAGATAAACATGATAAATATATTAAATTTAGTATGAAAAAAATAAATTTCAAGATAAAGAGGTTTTGAGAAGAATTTATATATATATATATATATAAATTCTTCAAATTAAGATGAAATGATAGTAGCACTTTGCACTGAATTCAAGTAACCATGAATCACTGTCAACATATTATATTAAAACTATTGTTTTAAAATACAGTTGAACTTGTGTATCTAAAACATATTTATCTCAAAAACCTCTTTATCTTGAAATTTATTTTTTTCCCTGCACTTTCAGACTAAATTTAATATATTTATCATGTTTATCTCAAATAATTTTCTCCCAAAATCTCTCTATTTCAAATTATAGACTCAATTCTGAAGTCTCAATTACAAATTCAAAGCTCAGCGACTACATTTTATTATCAAATTGTAATTGAGAAACATCTCCTCCAATATAGTACATAGCCAATTAAAGAAAAGCGGCATTAATTGTAACTGTGACTTTGGCTTGCATCTTATTGGTTGAAGAAAGTCAGGCATCACAAACTATTGACAACCATATTAGGACAATAACCCTTTGGATAAAAACTCTCTGGAATATAACCCTTGAATAAAAACTCGTGTTGAAACTCTCGGAACAATATCGCCTCTGTGTAAAAATGAAAGCTCCTCCAAAATCTAAAAGTTTTTTGAAATTTATTTAACACAACAAAATGCAATTCAATTTTTAAATAATTTCACTGAAAGTTAATATGCAAATTTCAGTGAAACAAATTTTCAATTACAGTTTTTTATACAGTAGTTAAAATATTGAAATTTCCAAAAAGATTTCAGTTTAATATTATTTACATAATATCAGTTAGTGAGTGTGCTATCCCTTGTAGATAGTCCATAATGTTGTGATTACAGTAGCTGCAAATAATGGTAAGAATTTGTGCATTTGAATCAGCATATTTCTTTCTTGGAGCTTTTGATGGATGACCAGCCAGAATTTGATTGAAGTAAGCTTGTTGTAATGCTTGTTCTCTTTAAAGAAATCCAATAAATTTCCAAATGGTGGGATGGAAACTTTCAACATTGGACTGGAAACTTCTATGCCATCCTTCCACTGAATTATTTGTTTTTGGTAATTCATCTTTGCATCATTGATATATATTTCACAACTCGATGGCATGTGTTGGTTGCTGTTGTCCATGACGTTGTAGTATTCCAATATAGGAATCTTCGAAATAATCTATGACTGGTGTGATTTCTTCAGGTAGAAATTCTGACAATTTCTCAAAAGCACTAACAGTTTCATCAGTTGGTACAAATGCAAGAGCTGGGATCATACTTAATTTCAATGCAAAGTCAGAATCTTCTTGATAACATTGTTGCAAACCATTTTCTTGAATCTTCCAGTAAATGTTCTGACTTAGATGAAAGAAACATTTTTTAATTTCACAGCCTGGGAATACTATTTTTAAACTTTTTATCTGCCAATTCAAAATCAATCATTATTGTTGGCCTCAAATTGACATTTGGTATTGTTAATTTCTCAAACAGTTCAATATATGTATCCCAAGTTTTGTTCTACAGTGTGACCGTAGGGTCGGTGTCTCTTTGACACCGACCGCATCAGGAGACCTAAATCTGACACCACCGAGTCTCTAGGGGACTCGGAAATTGCGACGTTAAGTCACACGAGCGGTAGCTTGTGAGCGCTTGGATTCGGAGTAGAGGTGAGGAGAGAGACGAGGAAGTGACTCACTCGGACTCCATATTTTCTAACAAATAACAATTTTAATAAAAACTAAAGGAAATACAGATATATTCTATCCCTAATCATGCTATTCCGTTTGAGAGAGAGAGTTTACACACGAATCGCGGGTTGATAAATACCTTGATTCTGGGTCGAAAGATCTGTGGTTACGCCGATGATGATACGCCGATGGAAAGTTCAATCTACTGGTTCTGGATCTTGTCCGTTCACTGGGGGGGAGGCATGGAGGTGTGGAGATGTTATTCTTAAACAGGCATGATCTTTTCCTCTCGGTGTTAATCCTGGGTCACGGTTTTAATTCGGGAGTACGACTTTTGTTGAGCGGACTTTGTGAAGATGACTGTTGTAAAGGGACTTCGGATGACGACTGACCTCGGGGTCCTTTTTCCTTTTTCTTGTCTTATTCCTCTTGGGTTTTTTCCATGAGGTCAGGTGGTTGCTGTTAACGGTCTCGCGTCCAATATGGATTCTCCATCAAAAGTTCCTGGTGACACATCCCTGACTAACTTGATCCGACTCAACAAGGAACAAACTTTTAGCCTAACTCGATAAAACGCTCGAATTTAACCGATTAAATTTTCCAATAATTAAAATTTAAAATAACACTTTATTGTAGGTCTGTTCGTCCCTCACAACAGTAATGCATAAACACACGGAATGGTTCATCCATTTACTATGGCATGAATGGTATAAAGTTTAACAAAAAGTGCAGTATGAATTAACATATTACACTGCTTGCTTTAATTAGGATTTACAATCCAGAAATATATTATTATTATTACTCAACTTAAACCAGAAATGGTAAAAATGTAGCATTTTGATATGAACTATGCTTTTATTATATTGTTAAAACAATGCTATTAATTTCTAAAGTTTTTTAAATATATTTTGGTACTTACTCAATGAAAAACAAAACTTAAATAATCACAAACAAAACAATTGCATGCTTCTACAAGCAAGTCACAAGTTCCATTTGAGGATTTAGTACTGTATAAATTAAAATTTGTATAGTATGACAATTTTGTGCATTTTGGCAAAATTTGGGTATACATTTCTGTAGATTTTAGTGAATATAACTCAATCCAACTTAAAAAAAAAAAAAAAAGATTTATCTCAAAATAGACTGTTTTATTCTGAATCTCCTCATTTGATCTTGGGAATTTAATAACTTAGAAAGTATTATCTGTTATTGGGTATGCCATTGTGTATATTTCTGTAATTCTGAATACTGGTTAACCTACATTCATTCATTCATTGTACTGTACATTCATTTGGTTGTGTCAAAGTTTCCCCATATTTAGCACAAAAACATTCAAATTAGAAATATGATATCTCTGCAACTTTTCCTCTATGAATACAGGCTCTCCTTGACTTACAATGGGGTTAAGTTCCAAAAAACAAAGTCAAAAATAAAAGTAAATAAATAAAAAAGGCTATATGCAAGGTTATACAGTACATGACATTGCATATTGTACAATATGTAATGTGAGTTTGGGCTATTGTTGATTGTGATAGTCCAAACTTATGAGCAATTGCCCTAACAGTCATGCTAAGATATATCTAAGCATGGCTATCTTAAGTTTATCATTGAGATTAATAGCCTTCCTCTTCCTCTTGCCACTAGCAGGAGACACAAGAGGATGTTTTGCAGACATAATGGGTATATTTAAGTAAAAAGTCAAAATATGGCCAATGGTATTTACAAATAAAATATTAATAAGTATTAATAAATAAAAAATATTATGTATATACAAAGAAAAACTTTGTTTGCATCTGTTTCTTATCCGTCATTTTAACACACCAGCAACAGTCCACAAAAATTCAGAAACACTGAGACAATCTTTCTTTTGAGGCTCTGTGTTTGTGTATTTTTGTGGACTGTTGCTGGTATGTTAAAATACTGGATAAAAAGTGGAACCAACCAAAGTGTTTCTTTGTATATACATAATATTTTTATACTTAACTAGCTTACCCATCGCGCATTGTTGCGATCTCAGAAGAAAGGAAATTTAAGCAAACTCGTTATGACAAAATTCAATTTACATTTTATAATTTTTATTAAAACTTATTATTATTACATTATTATTTCAAGTCGATATTAAAATTTTGAAAAGGGGGATACCTAGATCGGTAAAATATGCGAATTTCCTCCTACAACTTCGATTGTTGTTCGGGGCACATTTGAGGTTTTAACGAAGTTCGAGCGAATATATATTAGCAAAAAAGAAAGTTGAAATAAAGTGATTAAACAAAAATTATTACAAATATCGTAAATAACAGTTCACAAATGCATATATAGAGATATTTTTTGAAGGGGGAAATGGTCTTCACAATTTGAAATTGATCGAACACTCTGTGCTGGAATGCTCGTGTAAACGCGCGCCATCTATTGTAGGATAAATGTACTATGCCAAAAACCTTTGCAGGAGTGTATTAAAAAACTTTCCGAAGTTTTATGGCAATCGTACTATGCCACAAACCTTCGCCGGAGTATATTAAACAACTTCCCAAAGTTTCATGGCAATCGTATAAACGGTGTGGTAATGCATGAAGGACACACACACACACACACACACACACATTCATTTTTATATATATAGATTAATGGATATATTGTAAAACACAAGAAGATATAAGATGATATATATAAAAAAGTCTCAAGAAAGATCATTAATGCATCAGTAGAGCAGCTTGAATTCAAATTCTGTTTTCCTGCACTTCCACTTCACTTGCATTAGCCATTGTATCCAAAACATTGTAAGTTGATGAGCATCTGTATAATGAGAAAACTAACTTTTTTAAAAATGACAAAGAATATCAGAATTGTTAGTATTTAATTTGTTAAGGAATTTACTATACTTATTTATTTGTTAGCCTTCAGTTTTGTATTTCATTTCTGTTTGTTTTTGTATATTTATAATAAGAGAGATTTTTATTTATACAGTAATACCTCGACTTATGCGAACCCGGAGTTACACAATTTTCAAATCTCGTCAATTCATTTTTTGCTGTAAGATACGTCTACCAAAGTGTGTTTTTGGATTACAGAGACGAATTTACAATTGTAATTCATTTTTTGTTTGAGCGCCACACAACTCTTGATTACTCACTCCCCCTACACTATTGTTTACCTTACATGTTCGGACGTGTCAACGGAATTGACACATAGCTACAATTTATTTTGTGTTGTTTATTTCTATGTTTGTTATATCTATGGAGACTTGAGAGACTCTATGTGGTGATTTCTTGTAAGTGTGACGAATCAGAAGATGAGATAAGATTAACGAGAACATTTATTAGCTTACATACATCCAATTTGGATTTTACACAAATTGCGAAATTATATCCCGACTTACACGAATTTGACTTACGTGGTTATTGCTCGATCCCACCTATTGTGTAAGTTCAGGGTATTACTGTAATTCATTTGGTATTTATGTAAAAAAAAACTCAAATGAATTTAGATCATGTTATAATCAAAGTGCAAAATCTGATCTATGCAGTTTATTATGATAGAAAGAACCAATCTAACAATTTTTTTTTTAAAGTCTGATGTGAATGGATACTATTTTCTTAATGGAATACTTTTAAATAGATAGAAATCTCAAATTATATTTAAATACTAGGGACTTTTCCCCCTAATTGCATTCACTGGCTCAATTCTAGTGTTCTTCATACTTCTGTATTGTAAATGGTATTTAATATAACACAGCAAATTAACAATAATAAACATTGTAAAAATTATAAGATGGTAGTTTAGTCAGCTGTGGCAGTCTATGAGGCATTTGAAAATAAGAAACTTTTTGGCATAAAAGAACAGTGAGAATGTCATTATTGTAGCAATCTAAATAGGCATTTGTTACTTATTAATGCTCAAATGCAAGCTTTCTTTTTCTGTTTGGATAACTTCCATAGTTAGGCAAATTCCTTTTGATAGAAATTTCATTGACCAAAATATGTTATTGCATGATTGTAGTTGATATCTTTTAAGGGCATATTTAATTAAACAAGCAAGTTACACATTGGCTTTCAGCATGCTTATGACCTATAACATATGATATAATATATAATTTGGATCTTTTAAGATATAAAATAATGAATTAATTGTGAAAATAATTTGAAAAGAATAATTTTATTTAACTTTCATTCAGTTTGACTTATTTCTTTTGATATTGTTTTGAATTTAATATCTTGGAAGTTGCAGGAATTATTTTATGCTTAATGAGTATGTCCTGGTATGTGTCCACATTACCTTTATTTTACAGTTATGCATACAAAATACTGAAAGATGGAATAATAGTTTTTAGTCTAGAAAAGATGGTCAGTAAATATTTTTTCTAAAAGTACTCTAGGCTTTCTTTTTCAAATTTTATTTTTCATTACTACCCAGACACCAATTCATGGAACGTCAAGTCATAAAAATGCAGTGCGAGGTCAGATGCCAAAATATTTTTATATCTGATCTCATTTTAGGCTCACTCTTGTAGTTTAATGTATTTTTTATATTTAAAATATATTTGTTTTTAATTTTTTAATTTCATTTTTACATATTTTGCTGTCATTTAAAAAAAAATACATCATTTCTTTTTATTTATTATTTAATATTGTGTAAACTAATGCAATTGCAATTTGAAATAAAATATATTGCAGGTGTTATTGCAATGGATGGTCTGCTATACGTGGTCGGAGGAGACGACGGTTCCTCAAATTTGGCGTCCGTGGAAGTGTACAATCCCAAGTACGACTCCTGGACCATGCTGTCATCTTTCATGACCATCGGAAGGAGTTATGCAGGAGTCTCAGTCATCGACAAACCGCTCTGAGCCGAAATGGCTCTCAAGCGATGCTGGTAAGACAGAATTGCCAGGCATTAATTTGGCAAGTTTTGTTTGTCTCCATTTTGTAGATTTTACAAAGTGCTACTTTTTGAAAAGTAAAAGCGAAGGCACCAGATTTTATTGGGAACAATTTTATATATTTAATTTATTGCAATTTCATACTTTAAATGAAAAATAAATAAATAAATATTCATTTTATGTACAGTGACATTTTGATAAACATTCAATTTCAGTTTCCCAAACATATATTGTGATACATATTTCAGAAACCTTAATGAATAGCTCTTAAACTGGGACACAGAATCAAAAAGTAAAACAAAAAAGTGTCTTGTGGATTTTTTTGTTTTGATTTTGTATTTCTAGTCTGTTGTATTTTTGATAGCATCATTTGTAAAAAAAACAAAGCAACAAAATTTAGTTGATAGAAATGTGATATGTATATAAACTCAGTGATAACTTTATAGTTAGTTTACATAAAATAATTATTTAATTGCATTTAAATAAATTACATTGTACAGTTTATTGTTTATAGTTAGTTATATTTTATTTGTAATATTTCGTAGCTTGTAATTTTAAAAAATTACACAAAAATCATTGCTTGTGAATAATGTAAAATTTTTTGTGAATAAAGGAAATTATACACATAAAAGTATGCGTCTTTATTAATGTGACCAAATCTGTACAAAAAAGATTTACATTAATACATAAATGCCACTTTGTATGTTTGTGTGTATAATTTTTTATTGGTGATAATTTTTTTTTTTTTTTTTTTTTTTCATTTTCTGCATCGTGAAAGAATGAAGACTACTCATTTTTTAAAATATTTTATTTATTCTGCACGCCATAAATTGTGCGTTTGTTGCTAATAAAATTAATAATTACGAGTAAATTGTAAAACACTTTCCTTAAGTGAAGTATAAAGAAATAATACAAACAATTTAAATCAAATCCAGCTCTTACAGTAGGAACTGGATTTGATGTTTAGATTAAAGGACATACCAATTTGTTCAGCCAGCCCATTTGACGAACAAGTTCGTGACATGTGACACTCCCAAAGCATTCGCGTTTCTACTTATGTAACTCCAGACATAGGCACCGGGGAAGTAAATTTCCTAAATCGGCGTGTTTTGCGAGGTAATAATGCAAAGAACACCCAGGAAACTTAATTTGGCTAGTCCGTTGGCCATGCACAAACCCACAAACGACTAACGATGTTCGGTGCTTTTATCCATTCCGTTACTGGAGTATACTTATAGGACTGCAATTTGAAAAATGTTAGAGCTATAAATTCCCACCTCCGTCCGTCTGTCTTTATTCTTCCTTAAATAATTAATCTTGAGAACGGAATTAGATAGATGAAAGTCGAGAGGAGAAGTGGCAATCGTAAGAAAGAAAAGCCAGATTACCTATACCATATATGAACTTCCGATTTGTACCGCAAGTCACGTTATCTCAATACAAAAATTTTACCCGGAACGGAGTTAGATTCGTAACCGGCATGACTATTGCTAACAGGAAAAGTATGTTTTACAGGGGCAAAACGCTGTTACACTCCACGCAGACAAGTGCTGTGTGCTACATGGCGCATCTATTTCGCGCTATATCATTGTCGCAGTAATTCAGTGAATATAATATATATAATTTTTGTAAGAATTATATTTAGTTAATTATTTTGTTAACTTTTTTTGCCAATAGATGACTCTACGCAGAGCCGTAACCAGGCAGGTGCATTCGCACAGGGTCCACTTGGAAGGGGGACCCAAACTGCTGTTCACAAGAAATTATATTTTTAAATCTTAAATTTTTCCTCCTTTTTTATTGGCGATTACATTTTGCCTTATTTAGACCCTAGATGTCTACTCACCAGTGTTTCCAACCGTGGCGACTTTTAGAGGGACGTAGTGAGATAGCGGAGACCGCAGCAAATCAGCCAAAAGTAGCGACTTTTGAAATTTTGTTTATTTATTTTTTGATAAATTTATGTTTATAGTTTTCAAATTTATAGATTTTTCTCTACTTTATAGCGCTCTCTGGCAACGACTAATATTATTACGATATACAAAACTGTATTTCTAGATTTTTCTACAGTGTGCAGAGCTAGAAATCTGTAAAGGTAACATTTTGTAAGAAAAATAAATCTGCCCGGGGATTTTTTTAATTGCTAAATTGCTAAATAGAAAACGTGGTAACTTTCGATTAAAATCTTATCTCGAGGTTGTAAAAGGCGCGCAGAAATTCTGACATAACTTTTTGCTTTATAGTGGTACGCATATGTGTTGCATACCTCAACGGTGGATTAAGCGGTGAGCGGACTATGCGGCCGAATAGGGCCTCGAAGGGGTCTTTGAGGTCTTTAAAATGCTACTGAAAAAAGGCTGATTTTTGCTTTCTCTGTGGCTCTTCTTTACAATACATGAGTGTTGCTGATTTAAAAAAAATCAGCTGCAGATCTCGCTATTAAATATAGCAAAGATTTAAAAAAGTACGAATTCACACGTGAAATTGAAAGTTTTAAGTTTGAAGTAACGACTCATACAAAATATAGAAACTGCATCTCCGTTTAATATTCTACAGGCTCTTCATGATTTTGGTTTAATTGAGTCTTACCCAAATATCAATGTCGCTCTTCGAATATTTCTAACTCTTTCCGTTTCTATTGCTTCGTGCGAGAGAAGTTTTAGCAAGTTAAAATTAATAAAAAATTTATTTAGATTAACTATCGGGGAAGAACGATTGTCCAATATTTCTATTATTTCAATAGAATACTGTAAGGTCTCGTTTTATGCGGTGGATACGTTCTACAGAAAAGCGCATATAAAAAATCCGCATAAAAAGAGACTTTACAGTTGTACATTATCATAAAAAATTTTAAAATCCCCGGCATTATTTGTCATCAAGGACCTCAAACTGAGGAGATTTCACAACGAAAGCAATCTGCATGGCTCTCGAGAATTAACCGAAAAATTTCAATACGTATAAAGTATCTGTCGGGATAAAAATCGTCTGTCATGCGATTTCCCGCGCTTTTCCATTCGTTCGACGAGCGACGGTTGTCGCCATAGAAACGGCAATCGGACCACTTTTGAAGACTCGACAGCTGATTGGTTGGAAGACATCACACCATCGGCGGACTCTTGTAGCGCTGATTGGTGGAATCCAATTCTGCTTCAATCCTATAAAAGGATTGAGTTGTGGGAAGTTCAGTTCACCGTGGACTCAGAAAGTGGATTCACGTTGGTCTTAGTTCGCCTAAGCTGGTCCCGAAGCTTGTCTCGTCTCGTTGGGCTGTAAAGGACTTTAGAGTTAGTTCGTCGCAAGGTGTCTTTTCGNCAATAACTGTCATTGCATTATGTAAAATTAAATCCTTTTTAAAACTTTTTTTACAATAAGATATGTTTCATAATACACTGGCGGAAATTGAAAGTGTTACACCCACCCAATATTGTCGAAGACATATGAAATTGGCCCAAAAGAATCTCTTTTTGAAGGGTATTGAACGATCAAAAATTACATGAAGTACAGTACATACAGTGGTATAGAAATTATGGAGACATTTGTTATGCAAAATTGTTATAGTGTTTAGTTTATAATTTGTGAACTGTGTTATGGAACATGACTTTTTTTGGTCCACATGTTGTTGGTGACCATCTATGTCATATCGACAAGTGAGANAAGAGAATGTACACTAAAAAGAAATTTTTCGATATTCCCCCCAAGGGGGAGGTGTTATACATTTATAATAGATACATTTTGAGCCACAACAACGCGTAGTGGGGTCTGTTAGTTTAATATATAATAAAAATTAAGTAAACACAGTATTATCGGTTGAAAGCCTCGAGGGTTTAATTATTAAACTAATTGATAATCTCTTTTAATTATCTCATTGAAACGAGGCGATGTAAGAGCAACCCTTATCGTAATTTAGTGTAAAATAATTTTATTAGCATCCATAAGATGTTTATGAATAAGTTATAAGATAATCTAACTTACTTTGATTATTCATTTTCTCAAAACTATTTCGCTTTCGATAAATTAGCATTCGAAAATAAAATCTTCGAGTAATTCACTTTGACAATTGCCAAAATTATATTATTAGCATTTATTGTTAACGCAACAATAGTTTCCAGTCGAAGTCAAGAATGACGTCGTGAGCATGCGCAATTGTCCGGCGCCATATTTGTGGTTTGTTTACGTTTTACTTGTGTTTACACGCGCATTAGCTGGAGTTCTTGTGTTGTTTATTCCTCACGAATATCACTATAGTGAATTGTTGGGTGTAATGCTCAATCAAGAACAAAGGAACATCATTTTTTAAAATCCCCGGCATTATTTGTCATCAAGGACCTCAAACTGAGGAGATTTCACGACGAAAGCAATCTGCATGGCTCTCGAGAATTAACCGAAAAATTTTAATACGTATAAAGTATCTTAGATACATCTAACACACCTTATTGCTGAGAACATATATTTATTAAACAAAACAAAACAAACGTTTTCAATCCTATTTATGGGCCATCTTCAGGTTAACGTTGTTCGACTCTAATACAAAATCGAACACGTTCAAAATTCATAAATTAGAACATACGTTTAAATTAAACCAATAGAATAAGCATAACCAAAAATAAAATAATAATTAATAAAAACCAAAACATCACAAAAATGAAAATAAAATAAGGTGATTAACCGTAAACACTAAGTAACAATTCCTTACACTTTAACCCAGATACCTATTGAGCCACTACAGACGCAATATTACATGTGTTTATTCTTACTATGTATTTCCACGATGTGGGTAACACCCTCGCATCTTTGTAATTTAAACATCTATCAGTTAAACTCGCCCTGTATATTTCGCATTTTTCAGTAACGGACGACAGAGTTGGTGAGTGCACTTTTGCAAGAATTTTGGCATCTTCCCATTTAACAACCGAACCATCCACTTGCGCCATTTTGGATAATGCTGTTGCACATTTGCTTTTTGCGACATCATATCTGTGCTCCTTAATCCTCACCCCAAGGCTTCTGTTAGTGACCCCTACGTAGTCCTTATCGATTCCCAACTGGTCATTTTTGTAGGGAATTGCATACACTCCTGCCTGTTCCTTATCATCCATTTTTTCTTTGTCATTTCTAATCAACTTATACACTGTGGGGCCCTTTTGTATATTATACTGGCGTTTTTGTATTTCGCTATTTGCTTCATAATCGGGAAGATACATCTATTATACGTAAACTTTGCAAAGTTACCATTCATTTTTTGAACTTAGAGACTTAGCGACCGCTGCTTTTGTTTTAAGGCCCCCTGTTTCCATTGTATCAAGAACTGTTGTATCAAAATTTAATAACTTTCGGGTCACTTATTGGGAGAGAAAATTGGCAATTCCAACAGGATAATGCTGCCATTCATGCATCAAAGTCAACTAAAAATTGGTAGTAACGGTGCGAACTCAACAAATGTCTAGTGTTGCCAGATCTAAAGTTACTAAAACGTAACAAGTTCGATACTC